ATTTCGAGGTTGAAGGTTCATTGAAGATCTGCAAAACTATGTTTAAAAATCCGCTGGATATTAATGACAGAACGATCAGAACTGTAACAGAGAAATCAATCGGGGGTTTTTTGAAAGAAGATCAAAGAGGAAAACATAATAAACATTGATGTGCGTGAAAACCTAAGAAACAAATATAATAAACATTATATTGTACGCGAAACTATTAAAAATGAAATACGGGAATATATAAAAGGAATACCAAAAATTTAAAGCCATTATTTGAGGGCACAGACTACACGGGAATACATTGATGGAGGGAAGACTATTTCTGACTTACATAGGGATTACGTGGACCAGTGTAAAGAAGACGGTCTAAATTATGGGAATTATGTGATGTATAGTAGCATTTTTAATGGTGAATTTAATTAAGGTTTCTTTGTACCAAAGAAAGATAGATGTGAGTTATGTGTAGCTTATGAAAATTCAAATCTGGAAGATAAAGAACAACTTAAGAAAAAATATGATGAACACTTATTAGAAAAGAATTTATCTAGGGAAGAAAAAAGAAAAGACAAGGAGGCTCTTAAGATAAACAAAAACCTGATTGTGGCTGTATACGACTTACAGGCTGTTTTGCAAATACCGCGTGGTGATCTTTCTGTTTTTTACTATAAGAGTAAACTAAATAACATGAATTTCACAGTAAGCAAATTGAAAGCAGAAAACACAGGAAAAAAAAAGAAGTAAACCGACAACAGACAAGGAGCCTATTGTAAATCAAAGTATAACTGCGTGCTATTTTTGCCATGAGGGTGAAGGATATCGAGGTGCAGATGAAATCGGGAGCTGCTTGCTTAAATTTATCGACAAAGAACTGCACAGTCATACCGGCAACGAGCCCATTGATTTAGTGTTCTATTCGGATAATTGTTGCGGGCAGAACAAAAATAAATATATCGTCGGGGTGTACATGTATGCAGTAATGAAATACAATAAATTAAATTCGATTAGTTATAAATTTTTAATAGCGGGTCATACTCAGAATGAAGACGACTCAGTACATTCGGTGATTGAAAAACAAATAAAGCGATCGTTAAAGTCAGGTCCAATTTACGTCCCCAGCCAATATGTACAGATAATTAAGGAAGCTAAAAAAACTTGGGAGCCACTGAGAGTAAATGAGCTGTCACACAATGATTTTATTTCTCTGAAAAGTTTAATTGGTGATATAGGTATTACGACTCTTAATAAAATAAGGATTTCAGAGCTAAAAATGATGACCATTGCCAAAGATAGACCAAATATCTTAAAGTATAAAACATCTTACACAGACTCCGATTGGTTAGAAGGTAATTTACTCTCTCGAAATAAAAAACTTACCATTCCTGATACAAAGCAAGCTTATACTAATAAAATAGAGATCAAGGAGAATAAAAAGAAGGATTTAATGACTTTAATCCAAAACAACCATAATATTCCGAGTTTTTATGCTGATTTTTTTAACAATTTGTGAATTATTTTGAAGTAAAATTCTATTATATCATGTGATTAATCTAATTATATATATATGATTTTAAAGGTGTCTTACTTTGAGATTTAATGTTAACTACTTTTCTGTCATTTTTTTTACTGTTGATTATTGTTAACATTATTTTTCTTTGGTTATTTTTGTTGCTAATATTCTAAGAAAGTTATTTTTGAGTTATGTTTGATTTCTAATTAATCTATGATTAAAAAGTATGTTTTTATTATGTATCAGATTTTGCTGAGTTAATAAGAGTCACAAGTATATGTTTCTATTGGATTTTTTAACAAGAAAATTTGTTTTGAAACGCTTTAATTAAACAATGTTTCGTAATTTATTCGTTTTTTTTATCCTTAAAGTGTCACAACTTAATTTTTTTTTCATTTTTTCAGGATACCTCCTATATTATTTTGTAGAGCTTCTAAAACCATATTAACTTACTAAGAAACCTTTTGCGCTAATTTCGTTAGTTTTTTATTTATGACCGGAAAAGTAAAAATAAAAGCTAGAATAAATTTCAAGCTCAATTTTCTCGACAGTTTGCTTTTTTGACTTATGACACTATTTGAGCGGAGGTGCGCTATATATTTTACTAGTAATATCGCGTTCGCGACTCTGGTCTTCGGACGACATTTTTTACATGCATACGTACCCGGTACCCGCTGACTGCCACAGCGCAACTGTCTTTGGTTGGATGTAATCCGCCGGCCAAACGGTTGTAATTCACGCGCTCCAATCGCGGATGTAATCACGCGCCCGTAATCCAAGGACGTTGAAGGTCAAATCAAAATTTGGATTACATCCTTCGTCTAGATGGATGGCAACGGGCAAGGTCACCTTAGTTGGTACGCTGTATTACATCCGTCTGGCATAGGTCTTAAAGCTATTCTAGACGGATGTAACCCAGCGTTCCAACCAAGGTGACCTTGGTGGGAAGTTGGTTTCCATCCGCGTTATGATTTTTCGGCTACACGGATGTAATCCACGCGCCAAGACGCAGTCGCGAGCCGTCTTCTGTCGTGAAAACACGTATGCACTTGTATCATGCGCGGGCTGTATTAGTAACCGTGTTGCAGAAATGGCTCCAAAGGAGACCCGGCACTTTTCATAGAAAAAATGCTAAACTTGTATACAGTTGAATTTGGTCTCAAAATAAAACCAAAATTATTTGCTACATAAAACTACTTTTGCCTTATTTTTAGTTAATCGGAAAGAAGTTATATGATGATTAATATTTTTTGATATGGAAACCCTAAATCTTAATATCGCGTTCGGGAAATTCACATTTTATGTCAAAATTGAAACGTCAGGCTAAAAAGGGAGCGTAGATTTTAAATGTAGCCCAGTACACTGTACCCAAAATCCATCAATGTACTGCGACCAACGATATTAGATACCCTATCGTTGGCTGTGACCCGGCCCGTCACTAACGTGCTAAGTACGCATTTTGCGATGCGCTGCGGCCCGCTTCGCCCCGGCATAATATGAGCTATTCTTAATATTGCGCTGACGTTCTTTCCTTGAACCCGAATATATTTCTAGATTTAAGTGACGTAATAGTTTACGGTAAATACCTATAAGCTTTTAAGTTTTAGCTTAGGTCTTTCCGTCAATATTGAGTTACCTCGAGAAATTGTTGCTCTGGGAAGTTGACCTTCCAACAAATTACGTAAAGAAAAACTAACAACCACAATAACAACGGTGTTTTACTAACTTATGAATCATTCCAATATTTTTATGCCGCATATGTAAGTAGGTACAGGTACAGCGCGTTACATTGCGATTTTGCGGTACTTACCTATGACGGCCAATGAACATCGAAAGTGCACTAACACGACGACATGATGTAAAATGTTATTATTTATTATGAATAGGAGCTGCCTATCTTAAAACAGGCTCCTATATTTTAAAAATTGGTGCCCCGAGGACATTCCCTAAGCCTCACCACATAATAATAACTTACCGATTTAGAAAATGGTATTTTTCGGTAAATAAATCAATGACCGTTTATCCATGCTAATACTATAACTGCGCAAGTAATTAAATCCACTGGTCTGTTACTTTTTCACATCTGAATCACTAAACCAGTTTTTTTTTAAACAAGGCGCAACAAATTTTCCCACCCCAACTGATGTTAAGTGTAAGTTGAGTCCAATCGCGAAGATGATGCGGCAGGTCCAGGTGTGCCGCTTCAGCCATCCTCACATTGCCGGCCTGAACCCCGCAGGGCCCTGGAATCCTACTCATGAGCAGATATAAATACAACACCACCAAAAGGTAATGTTATTTTACTTTGGTCTTATGTAAGGTGATGGTTGCGCTCCAATTGAGCGCAAAACAGCTGTGCCCTTCCTCTCAAGTTTTAGCGAGTTTTGTAATGGAGATGATAGATTTAGACGACAGCCGCTTGCGCTTAGGCGACTCTTAGTAAAGTAGCTAGTCGTAAGCAACTCTTGAAGTAAATTAAGGACTTCCTTATTGCAAAGGTGTATAAAATTAAGGTGTATGGCCACTTTAATATTTATTTATTTATTCTTTATGCACAAATGTACAATGGCGGACTTAATGCCGTAGGCATTCTCTACCAGTCAACCATAGGATGTTGTGGATATTATTAGTGGTAGGGTGCACAACTGAAGTGGAGATCACATTGAAGTTTATAAAAATAATAAATATAAATAATAATATATAAACGTACACATACATAAGTTAATATATTTAAATAAATACACAAATACATACTTATTTCCAAAATAAATACAAAATAATGACGACAAACCACTCAACGAAACGCCTGTTCTAATAAAAAGCTTCGCAGTTTGGTTTTAAAGGTGTATTTACTGGGGGACATTCTGATATCTAGCGGGAGATCATTCCACAAAAGTATCGTTTTTACGAAGGAGGAAGAGTGAATAATATCGGAGCAGTGTGATGGAACGATAAGTAAACGATTAGAAGAAAAAAGATTAATAATGTCAGATTATTTGAAAGCCCTCGAATGAGTGCGTGTTTAGCGACAAGCAGTGTTACCAACTCTCAAAAATATTTATCCCTAAAGTTTGTGTCAAAAACCACTAAAATCGCCTTAATTATTGAGTTGTCCCCCTAAAATTATATAAATATAAATTCATAATAATTTAGAAATAATATGTTTCATAAGTCTTTTTATTATAAGTTATTTAATAACATAAAATATTTCGTTTTCAATTGAATAAATTTAACATTTTATTGGATGGATTATATGATGTACAAGATCCACCATTTCGATTTAATGTAAATCGGCCCATCATGATATATATATATAAATATAGACATATACACAACAATAACCGCCATATGCAGACAATAAAATGACCGCTAGGGGCGCCAGTATTGCCGCCAGTCACCACAGAGTGGTTGTAGAATTACGTACTAGATGTCGTTATAAGTCGCTAGGTCAAGAAATAAATATTAATATTATGAATTTAAAAATATTAGAGTAAAAAAATCCCTGAAAATACCCCTAAAAAAATCCCATCTTACTTATTTACCCCCTAAATCTGGGGCGAAAACATCTAAGTTGGGAACTGTGGCGACGAGCGTATCTACCACATGTGGCAGATATTTTTTGGGGCGCTTCCGTGCCGTTAATACGGTATCTAGGCGTGTATACAGTTCCTTTATTTTAATTTGTTCCTTTACTGGCGCGAGTTTTTGTAACACCAGTTGGTAATTAGTTAATTAAAGAAGATTAAGGTTTACAAAAAGAAAGGAATAATGTAACAAATAAAAGTCATATTATATTTTTAATAATTGGAATCTACGCAGATCTTTTTGGCTTCTAACGCTTTAATCGCTTGCTCGAAAGCTAACGCCGCTTGTGGTCCTTCGACTTCGAACGGATTGAGTGGTTCGCCCTCCTTCACGATTCCTTGCACCTTGAGCATCAAATCTCGCATCAGGGCTCGTTCTCTTTTTAGTACTTCTTCGTTCATAACATATACAGATCTCCGTTTGAGAAATATACCATGTTTGTTAAAACAGTGCCGGTTGAAGTCGTGTTTGTAGCTATACGGTTGGGAGCATAACTGAAAAGTGATATAAATATTTAGTTATCTCTAGCACTGCGGTTGCAACTTATAATCAGGGGCAAGGGATAATAGGGATGATGACTAACTTTTTTTCTTCGTCTATCAGGTAGATCATCGAAAAGTATTAGACACGTACTTTTTATTTTTACATATAAACAAAACACTACAGAGATACCTATGTTAATATGAAATGTTGAGTGACGTCACGTTTCGTATTTTTTTTACTAAAAACTGACGTCATGAACCCCACACTCCCAAACTTTGACGCGCTTTATTATTGTAATTTTATTGGTTGATTGGAAAAAGAAAAAATACGTGTCCATCATTTTTACGATTTAATCTAACTGACGCACTAAATAGAATTTTGTTTACTTTACCCTGTCATCATCCCTCTTTGTACGGCCCCAAAACTGTGTGCGTACCTCACACTTATAAGGCCTCTCGCCTGTGTGCACTCTTAAATGATGTTTCAGACCGTGATTTGTGAAAAACGACATGTTGCAGAGATCGCATTTCATGCATTTATTGGCGATGTTGTGAATTCGTTTGTGGCGCAGCAGACTGCTTCTCTGTAATCAAAATTAAATAATATCTTGGGTTTAAAGGTATAATAATAATAAATCATTACAATTACTACATGTAACTAGCGAGTGCGTGGAAGCGACGATTTCTTACACCAATTTCATCCCCTATTTCACATAATTACCGCCTTATTAATAAAAGAGGAATAAGCTTAGACTAGTTACGCCGTTGTTTTGTTCATATCACCCAAATGCCATTTGTCATTGAACAGAGACAAAACATAGAGTAACTAATCCAAACTTATTCCTAGTAGTAGCTAGACAAAATTTAGCCTGTCCTCCTCCAATGTTCCCTTAAGTTTAGTAGTTAAGGTGTAGGCGAGTAACGACCAGTAATAAGTAGTAAAATCGAATTCGTAACGTTTGCGAATCCGAAATTTCATTGTCAAATGTGTACTGAAATTTCGTTCTCGTTACGGCCGTTGTGGCGCTGCTTGGAAACTTGAACAGTTTCCAAATAAAATTTGACATTGACATTTCGTACTCGCAATCTATTCGAATTCGATATTGGTTCGTGCTAAGGGTAAGATAATCTGGTTTCGTTTCTTAGCAACAGTTATTATTATAGTCTAATAATAAAAATCTCTAGGCAACAAAGATCATCCTTAATCTTTACTAGCGATTGATTATTGAAACTGTCCGTAAGACATAAATAGAGGAACTACGTCTCTGGAATTGTGTGGGAGAGAGGAATGTTCGGTTTAATTCCAGCTGCTGATTTTCGCTATCTTACATCGCATTAAAAATTTCATCACCATCATCTTGATGCGTGGCGTGGCTATTCCACAACCGTGCAAAACTTCTTGACATTTGATGAGTATCGAGTTCGCTATATGAATTCGATACATATTCGTTCGTGCAGTAGTAGTAGTTCGTGTGTTCGTAAGGGTACAGGTGTGACATACATTTTGAGTATTATTAAAAAGATTGATATACGGATCAAGATGGCCCATTATATCATTGCAATTAATCACTTCTCAGAGAAGGAGTAATTTATGTAGCTAAGTTTTAGCGCAGTAGAATAAAAAATAATATATGCAACATTTAGTACACATGTAAGTACATCTGCCAGTTACTTCAAATTGCGGTTTATGAACAAATCATAAACTAAAGTGAGCTCGGGCTGTATAGGGGTTTGATTAGGCCCTTAATAGCAATATATTTGGCGGCAAATTATTGTATTTCTCGAGCAAAACTACAGACATGTAAACTTGCGCAGAAGACGTTTTTTGTTAAAATTGCTACTGTGCACGTCCTTGTCTATGTTCGTGTCTCAAGAAGTTTGCTAGGGTCTTAGATTAAAACAAAAAGGGAAGATACTCTCATATTAGCATAAAAAAATATGATCCGACTCAACTACATAAGCAACTCTCACACACGCACACGCACACGTCTGTAAATAACATTCAATCGAGTGAGCGAGACAGAACTAAACCCCTAGCACGAACCATTATCGAATTCGAAAAGTTTGCGAGTCCGAAATTTCATTGCCAAATGTGTACTGATTTTTAGTTCTCGTTACGTACTTTGTGACGCTGCTTTTCAAGTTTCCATACAAAAATTGACATTGACATTTCGCACTCGCAAACTATTCGAATTCGATAATGGTTCGTGATAGGGGTACTGTACGCTTCAACGCAGCGCGAGCGAAACGGCGAGTCCGCTGCTGAGTCCGTAGACCTGAGCTGTATTGTTGTCATTTTCTTGATAACAAAATGGCGATTACGTAAATAACATTCACGACAAACCGTGATTTTTGAAAAAACATGTTTTTGCAGTTTTACGAATGCAATGTGTTGCCGAGGCATTTGTTATTTGATTTTGAACTATTTGTGTTCTTCATAAAAGCATCGAAGGGATTGTTTTATATTTATAATACAGAATATACGCAATTTTGTTAAATTGAGTGCACATGCAGCGTGTTTGAATGTCCAATTGTGACTAAAGAGAATTGTGGTCATACACCACAATTTAAGCAGATCACTTTTGAGCCGTATCTTCCCTTTTTGTCTTAATCTAAGGCTGGGGTGCATACGTGTTAATAACTTCTATTAAAATAATAAATTGTAAAATCTTACCCGTTTAAATGGTTTTTTGCAGATATCACAAACATGTGTTTTTTCATCAGTGTGGCTTACGTTATGACTGCAAAAGATGATTTATTTTGAATTTATTTGAAAGTACTTAAAATCTTAATATTACGTCACTACTGAAAAATGTAGTTCTAATAGTAGAGGAGGCCATGCGGGGATTTATGGATTTATTCGAGCGCGGCAGAATAACATAAGGGGGCAACCTGGCATCTTATGAGTACTCCCATCATACCCGAGCCCTAGCTCTATGTAGAGCCGAAACAAATGTGCATCAAAAAAACGAGCGAGCCTTACAGTAGCCGCGTATGATGTGTAACATTTGAAACCTTACCTTATATTAGTAAAAAAAAACCTACTACAAAAGGAATAAGCCATTTGAACATTATGTTCTAAAATCAAATCAAATAGCGCACGATTTCGCGACTTCTTGTTACACACTTCCGTCCCATTTCACGAAATCACTCCCACAAATTGCAGGAAAGCGAGAGGAGATGTTACACATCAAAAAAAATCCACAATCGGCCATGACTTCTGGTTACGCCCAAATCGTCAGTCCTTTGAATAGGAGCTGAGAGTAGGGTATATAGGGCCGCCCCGCGCCGCACAGTGGGTGAAAAAAAGAGGTCCCCTTTCATAGGATTTTTGAAAAAATAAAAATGTTTATTATCCGTTTAAGGTATGCGGTTTTATTGGACATATCAGTACATTGAATAATAAAATAGTTTGGGGAATTTCCTTTTAATCTAACACCATAAAGCACGGGCTTTAGAGTTTCAAATGTATGAAAACGGAATTTGTTTTGCTCATAACTTGTATCGGTCTTCTACGGTCAAGCTGAAACTTATAGGGATTATTACCGGGTCTGTTACGAAGCCATGTGACCTTTGACCTTCACCCCGGACGGCCCCGTTCAAAAGATACGAATTTTTCAAAATGCTTATTAGGGTAATTTTGCATTACGGGGTTATGTGTCTCAATAAACAGTTTGTTTATGTTTCTTGCCCAGCATTTAGTTATTAATATAACACAGATTATTATCTAATAAAACTACACAGTAGATAACGCCACCATACAACTTAACTTTAAATAAAAGCGTCCTAATTCAAAAGATATGGAATTAATATAAATAGATAAAAGAAATAGTTTTAAGAAAAAGAAAACAAGAATAGAATATTGTAAAGAATTACAATGAAGTCGTTTACAGCCTACAATTTAATCTTTTGTTTGACAATCGCTTAAAAGCCGCGCGCCATTAACGAGAGCATCATTACATATAAACAATACAAACTATTGTTGCAGGTTTTGAGGAATTCAAAGGGTTACCCACAGTCATTACCTGCCGTTGTTTGCCTATAATAATTAATTTTGTCAAACAAACATACTTACACTTACAATGTCTATCTAAGAAAGGGTTTGATCAAATATGTTTATTTTGGGATACCTAGAACTAACTGACTAAGCTTAAAATGAACAAAGTGTTTTTCCAGATAAACTAGCTGGTTATTAATATTAGTAAATGTAGTAAGGGAGATTCTGATATGTTACTGCCAAACGAGAAAATAAACTATTTACATTATGAATAAAACAAAATTATTAACATCAATATTTTTATTTACAAAACTTAAATTACTAACTAAGCTTGATATCATAAATTAAATAATGCATAATAAGGAAACCACAACTGTATAAATTACTACACACATACAAGCTAAAGTATAAAAGATTAGTAGAACTCAAATTGGCTACAACAGTTCTTAAATATGTAAATTGTTTATATTAATATGATACAAAGATACAAAAAAATAAAAATACAAAGTTTGATATAATTTGATTTGAGGGAAAGAACACATACTAATCAAAGTCATAATCAGATACATTACCTACATCTACAAACTCTATATTTTCCTTATCTTCACAAGAAGTTAATAATAATGATTTAGCTTCATTTGTGAGAGGTTTATTTCGTTGACATATTTTAGGCCTGAAACTTGATAGGTATGGGTCAGACGATATTAACAAATTATTGATAATATCTTCATTTGTTGCAATCCTGCTAGATTTACGCGAGTGGAAGGTTCTGAAGTTTTTAAAATCTTTGTTACGAGCTTCAGAGGCCTCTTCAGAGAGCTTGCCGATTGGTATAAAGTTATTGTGCTCTATTATATCGGCACTATGAATGAGTAATTTATGCACGCTTGAGGGCATATAATACCATTCATAGAGCTCGACATATTTGCGTGCTGTAGCAGCACAATATTGGCGGAATTTTTCCACGTCCACAAACTCTCCACATGAGATAGCCTGAAGAATCACTCCAAATCTTCTAACGAGTTCTTCATCAACACCCGTTATTTGAGCAGTAATTTGAGGATTAACAAAAAATCTTCTTGCTGTGTTTCCATCGTTGCTTGTACCAGCCCCTTGTTTAACAACGTCCACAAGTAGCCCCGTTTCAGTCCGGAATTGTTCTTGAATAGCCTTTTTTCTTTGGCTTAACTGTTGCTTCAAATCTTCGCCCTTAGCTTGCCATTTCTTGAAGTCGAGACGGTAAGCAATATGTAAGATACATTCCTTGCATCTAATTCGTGCATGGAGGGAAGACAGACCGAACTTAAACATGTCTACAGACTGGGTTCTCTGAGTAACCTTGTCGATATCATTCATTTCTTTTGGTTTTGCTTTGCATATATCGTATGTAGCTGTGGATGTATCTGATAAATGTGAAGTTATTTTACCATCAATCATCGTCATATGCAGAACGTGTTTTACATTTACACCTTCGATAACAGTTGGATGTAGAGCAGCAATTTCCGTATCAAATGAAGTCATTTCTTCTTTAACATTCAAATCGTTCTCTTTAGCAAACTTAAAATAAATGGGTCGACAGTAAAACGTTGAAGACGCTTTGGGGTTTTCCCATATTATTTCATCAGTACCATCTCTCACCAGTTTTAACGGCACAAATGAACACATGAAGATGCTTGAATAATCGCCGTCAATTTTTTGTTGGTAGTTGCTTTGCCCAGATGCACCGTCAAACCCCCATTTACTGATAAGAGTCGAATTACTGCCAGTTAAATCAGTTTCCAGAGTTTTTAATAGTCTCTTGACCGTAATATCTAAAATAGACTGAAGTTTAAGTTTAACTTCAGTCTCAGTTATTACCATGTCTTCTTTTTCAACGTAGCACTCCTTCTTCTCTTGCTTCAAAGCATCATACGATGGAAGTATATCACACCCCATGTCTCTCATTGTCTGCCTCAATGTAATATACTGCCATTTCGATAATTTCAGTGATGTTGAAATACCGAGTGCCTTATCGGTATGACAAGTTCGTTTCGTCGATTTCAGGCAGGCTCGCAGCATTGGCGCATCTTCAGGCTTTTTAATCAAATGCTTCACTAATTCTACAAAGTCCGTTTGGTTTTCATTTTCCGCTTTCCTAGCCAGGGCATAAGCAAGTGTCTCAAAATCGTTTTCGGCAATGAGATTTTCAGTTCTTCTTCTTTTTTGCAGTGGACTCAAATTGGCAAATTCTTTTCGAGGACTAAATGTAGCGGTTGATGTCGACACAGCCACACTATGAGGAACAGTGCATTCCGTTGATAAACTAGGTCTTGTTACTGTTGAAATACTTGTTGAAGGATCTTCAAAACTCGTCATAATATTTGATTGTTCTTCAGTATGTCTAGTGAAACAAACTCTGGCCATTTTATTTCTTGGTCCAACCAGTCAGCAAACTTCTTTATAAAATTCCCTTGTGTGTAATTAGCTGACTTCCATTTGCGTTTAAGATTACTCGTATATGTAGCACAAAACGTTTTAAGAGTTGTCTTTTGTTCTTCAGATAATGAAAATCTCACTGAATCGAGTACTTTTTGAAATAACATGTCGGCACTAAAAGATTTTTGCCTCATATATATATATACGTCGAGATTAGACACAAGCCCTTCCATTCTGAGCAACTTAAAATTTGAGCAAAGAGAACGTTACGGTACGAATCAATAATGATAAGTGAAATGAAATACAGGTGTACTCCGTATTTATTATAATCGAAGTCATTGTTGAATAATAATAATAACAACGTATTATTTATTCACTTACCCACAATAAAAGCAAATAATCAGTAATTATTATAGGCAAACAACGGCAGGTAATGACTGTGGGTAACCCTTTGAATTCCTCAAAACCTGCAACAATAGAGTTTGTATTGTTTATATGTAATGATGCTCTCGTTAATGGCGCGCGGCTTTTAAGCGATTGTCAAACAAAAGATTAAATTGTAGGCTGTAAAGGACTTCATTGTAATTCTTTTATCTATTTATATTAATTCCATATCTTTTGAATAAGGACGCTTTTATTTAAAGTTAAGTTGTATGGTGTCGTTATCTATATATATATGTATAGTTTTATTAGATAATAATCTGCGCTGTATTAATAACTAAATGCTGGGCAAGAAACATAAACAAACTGTTTATTGAGACACATAACCCCGTAAAGCAAAATTACCCTAATAAGCATTTTGAAAAATTCGTATCTTTTGAACGGGGCCGTCCGGGGTGAAGGTCAAAGGTCACATGGCTTCGTAACAGACCCGGTAATAATCCCTATTAGTTTCAGCTTGACCGTAGAAGACCGAGACAAGTTATGAGCAAAACAAATTCCGTTTTCATACATTTGAAACTCTAAAGCCCGTGCTTTATGGTGTTAGATTAAAAGGAAATTCCCCAAACTATTTTATTATTCAATGTACTGATATGTCTAATAAAACCGCATACCTTAAACGGATAATATACATTTTTATTTTTTCAAAAATCCTATGAAAGGGGACCTCTTTTTTTCACCCACTGTGCGCCGGCCCGAGCATCCGTTCAGCCATTACCGAGTGATTGAGTAACAAACATACTGACGACCGAATACTTGATGACCTCCGTGACCGAGTGGTTTGTACGCCGGGTTTCAAGGTGTCGGCTACTCGAGAGGTCCCGGGTTCGAATCCCAGTGGGGGCAGATGTTTATGTGATGAATGAGAGCATTTGTACTCTAGTCATGGATGTTTAATATGTATTTCTATATAAATATACTTACCCTATTATCCCATAACACAAGCGTAACAGTGCTTACTTTGGAGCTATGCTAACTGGTGTGAGTGTTGGAAATATTTATTTAAACAAACTTTCACATTTATAATAATAGTAGTTTATGATTAAGTAAATATGGGGGTGTTTAATTTTTTTAATCTATAGGTATATCAAATCTGGTCCTCGTAGCTCTGCAGATCTCGGTATGGTATGACCTATTTGCATCATAGCCAACATAGTGAATTAATTCATAACAGAGTGGTTTATTATTACCTTTCCAATAATTTTATAGTAGTGAAAGATGCTACACATTTTTCACATTTGAATGTCTTCTGTTTGTTATGTAACTTTATATGAAGATCTAGATTCTTTGAAGTAAAGAATGCTTTGGAACAAATATCACATTTGTGTGATCTATTACCTGGAAAAGAAAACTGATATCTATTTATTATATATGCATACTATGAACATATAACATCATGACACAACTTATATAATATAAAAGCTTGTAGTGATAATTTCCTGAGTAGATAAACAAAATTTGATAAGATTGTTTTTTTTTTAATTTCGATATTGTAACTACCAGATCCTACTTAAATTTGGTGACAAGCTTTTTTAATATAATAAATTGTGTAATGATGTTATAAATTCACAGTAAGTTTTAAAGGAAAATTTTATTTTATCCTTTTCAGTGCATTTATGTATTTTCGAGTTATTATTAGCAAGCCCTTTCATTTTTTACATAGGAGTGCATCCAAAATAACTAGTCCGCCATCTTGTATGTTCCGCCATATTGGATTTACAATGACGTCATATAGTTCACCATGCATTGTCATCCAAACTAAACGTGTGTACAAAATTTCAGTTCAATCTAATGAAGACATCTGCTTTAAAATTGAGTTGCAAGATTCCACCCGAACAAACATACATACATTGCAAGTTAAATAAAAGCTTTAAAAAACAGGAATATTTTTTCACCACCCTATTATATACTATCACTACACAATAAATTAGTCTAGGGGACAATATCTGTGCATGTAATATGCTATCTGGGCAGGTCTTACACATTGCCAAACCCTCAAGGGATCTCATTTGGTGTGACTATCGACAATATTTTTATTATGAACAAAGTTGTGGCTGAAACTTGTCTAAAAAGTATGTTGGACGATCCACAGAGCTCCGTGGGATGATCACATAGTAAAAAACAATATGAGGCATGATCACATAGTAAAAATTAATTAAACATCTACCCCTGTATTAATAAATGAGTAACAAGCTTAGGCTAGTTACACCATGTTTTATTTATATCACTCAAATGGTATTTTTAATTCAATGAACAGAGACAAAAGTAAGGCCTATATTAATAGATTACATCAACTCTGAGAATGATCTTGATATGCTGTTTTGTACAAAAATAGTATCTCAAGATCGTTGTTTTAGAAGAATACTGTTGTAAATTGTTTCATTAAATTACCTGTGTGAATAAGGAGATGGGTTTTTATTGATGTTGACATTTTCCCACAATAATTGCACATATCATACTTTTTTTCTCTGGCTTTATTTGTGCAAAGTTTTTTCTTCAGCTTTATATTTTTTGTAGGCATTACCCCAATGTCATTCAGAAAAATAGGTTTGATAAGAACTTTTTTACTATTGGCAACATTCTCTTTTTTTAATTTTCCTGCAAGAAACCAGATAAGGCAGAATTAAAATTTAAAACAAGTAGGACAAAATAAATGTCAGCATCATTCATGGTAAATAACCTCTACTGTACAGAAGACTACAGTGAAATAATACTGCTGTTTGTTTTGTGGCGTTCTGAGTCTGTCAGCCAGTAAGAGCTTAAAGCTGCTCATGTATGGCCACATGAGCAGCTTTAAACAGTCAGGATAGACTGCTTCAAGCTGTGACTGCATGGTGGACTACTGTCTTCTAACAGTTGTTACTGCTATGGGTAGTTGGTAACACTGAAATGGCAGCTTCAAGCTGCTGGCTCTGGTTGCTCCAGTAGACTGTGTACGTGATCACTGGCTAACTGCTGCAGCAGTCTCTATATGGCCGATTTAAGGTTCCATTGCTCCAGAGGATGGGTGGCACTGGTTGGAGTGGCAAATTTTTCTATAGATAGAATTTTAGATACCTACCTGATTTTTTTTTCGATTTTGCTAATTTTCTGTGAGAGAGTGGTAATCTGTAATCTTCATCATCAGATTGTTCCGCATAAGCATCAATATCAGAGTCCTGAAAACAATAGGTTTTTTTACAAAATATAATAAGAAAATGATATTGGAACTCTTAGGAGTTCATGGTAATGTAGATGTTGGCACACTACCCATTGTCTCTGTTCATTGAATTACAAATGGCATTTGAATTTGATGTGGTTCTGTGCCTGATTGTTTTTACAAGAAATTTACTAAATAGGTATTTATGGTGATTCCACTGGTCCTGCAAATGAAAGGGAAAAAATACTTACAGGATTAAAATCAGGATCAGAGTCAGCCTTAAAATTATTCAAAAAATCTATAACAGACAATGGTTCACTTTCATTTTTTATAGTGACTTCTATTTTCTTAATTGATGTGTTATTATAAAAGGTTGGTATTTCCCCATTTTCAAAATAATTATTTTGAATATTTTCAAACTTGGGCTTAATCTCGATATCAATTTTTGATTTTAAATCACTTATGTTTCCAAAAGACACTTTTTTTAACCCAGCTGCATTACTAAGTACTTCCTCTGAACTGAAATAATAACCAAAGTAACAATTTCAATCAAATAAACAAATCTTTGTTTAAAAACAAATTAATTTAAGTGTACTATAAACTTTGCATTTCAAATAAATAATGCATAAATACAAATCTTATTGAGACTGGTCTATTGGTATTCAGAAGACTTTGAAATTAATACTTGCATAGTACATTGTTAATGACCTTTCGATCTGAACTTTTAAATTATAAGCATCAATAAGCTTCTGACAGCATATCTTACATATTACTTCTCTGATTCCGGTATCTTTTATAATCTGAAAGTAAACAAATACTGCATAAAGATATGGGAGTTCAAGGTAACTGCCAGTTTCTAGCACTACCATCGTTGGTTAGTATCAAAACCAAAATCGTTGATAGATAGATGCTTCTTATACCATGGTTCCTCAGAGATTTAGCCAATGTCCAGTGTATACGCCCAAAATATCTTGCTTAACTTTGTACTGTAAGGGCTTTCACAGTTACGAAGAATTAAAAACAACAGACAGATATTTTACCTTTACATTTGCAAAAGAGGACATCATGAAGGCAAATGAATTACCATCACTGGAATCAAAAATAGACCGTAATTTTCTTTTGTTTGTTATGCAAATTCGACAGGATAGCATATTATTGCTTTTTTAAATAAATGCAATGCAGCAAACAAAACATTAAAACTCCAGCCTGGTGTAGGTAGGAAGTAGATAGATGATTTTTCAGTGTTGCCAGTCGGGTCATGTCAGAAATTACCTAAAATAAAAAAAATGTAACCTTTTTGTATAAAAAATAACCTTTCATATTTTTTTACTGGAAAGGTATTATAAGTTGGTAGAATAGTTGTTTCTTAGGTTTTCACGCACATCACTCATTAAATAAAACTAGTTTTTACGGGTTAATGCACGAAACTTTATTTATATATTGACGTTTAAATAAAAAAAAATGGGTGCGTGTACTTATGTAGGCGCGTGAGAAGTTATCCTTCTATCGCATCGTTTAAAATTAGTTTTTAATTGCATGCAGATAATTAATTACAATTAATTAAAAAAAAAGTCTGGAACAGGACACAGTCAATAAAGTTCAGTTTTAATTTGAAAAAATAAATAAAAAAAATGGTTGCCTGTAAAGTCGGTTTTACGGGCGAAGATTTTACGTGACAACGTCTTTTTCTCGGTAGAATATTTATTGATATGAATATAATTAAATTGCACAATAGGAACAAGGAATTGAATGAAAATAAGAATTGCACAAATTTTAACTATAGAAATATATTTTGTTTACTAAAACATTGTACATGTAAACTTAAACTTAACACGAGAGACTCATCGTAACGTTACCGAGCGTTACACTTTTTCATAAGTGACTCCCAGCCGCAACCTAATTTAAGACGTTGTCACGTCAATAATCAAAATATTCAATTAAAATCGCTACTGAATATAATTTATTAGAACATATGTGATTTGCACTTGTATGAAACTCAAACACGTATTCCGAATATACAAACTAGAAACATGTGGATAAATATTATAAATATGAATACCTATAACTGTTACTTTATTACAAAAAAAAAAGATGTGGTTTTTGGTTCTACTACACCAATGGTCAAGAGATGGCGCTGTAGTCTCCTGAATCGCGCTTTGGTTCCGTTGTTCCAGATTAATAAATACTTTTGATAGGCCTTCACAATGCAGTCGTTAGCACCCACTAAATAGAGATTCTATTTCTACTTTGTTGGTAGATTTTCTTAATGTGCGGTAAACACAAAAGTAAAATTTTGTGTTACAGTGATGCGCGCGCATCTTAAAATTTCACTCTCATCATTTTTTCATAACGCGCCTAAAGAAGTATAACTTCAAAAATATTCCGAAGACGTAGCCTGTAAAGGCTACGAAACGTCAATAAATAAATAAAGTTTCGTGCATTAACCCGTAGAAAACTAGTTTTATTTGGTAGAATAGAATATTAGTTGTATTGACTTACAGAAACATCGATGAGTATTTGAGCACTTACTCAACTCTGATTATTTATTAATACTCTGATAAATAAATGAAGCATTAGACTAATTTAGTCTGCAATCGCAATGCTCTGCATATACATATTCTCAAATTAAAAGTTAATTCTACAAATTCTAAAAAATCACCTTTAAGTAACCTTTTCATTAGTGTAACGTAAAAGTAACCAATGCAGTTCAAAAATCACCTAAAAGGTTACAAAAGTAACCGTCTGGCAAGACTGTGATTTTTACTTTTCTGTAGAGCGTTACTTTTTCGGCGGGAAAGTAAAAGCGCGGATTATAAAATCTCTTTTTTATTTTATTGTTAATAAATTGTATAAACTGCTAATAAGTAGCAGTTAATAGCATCAAGATGTCGAAGAAGACTGATGACGAAGATGATAATATTGATATCGATACCGGGTGGTCCGATACCAATAAAAAGAAAAGAAAACTTAGCGCGCCAAAGGAAAAACCTTCGAATGATTTGGAGGCAAATTTTAAGTTTTACACCAAACCTGGTTACAAAAGATTATATTCTGACCTTAATAAAGAAATTGAAGAATACCCTGTCTACGTTGAAAGTCTGAACAAGGAAGAAAAATTGGGAAATAAAAATCCTCTTCCTCTATCCTCAAAGCTATTTAAGGGCGTAAAAGGAATACACGAACGGCGCAGAGTTAGTGCTACTAAAATAATGTTTGTGTTCAAACAAGCAGCTGCAGCTAACAATTTTTTGACCAACGAGTGTCTGCAAGAAAATAATATGAGAGCCTATATCCCTGCATCCTCTGTGGAGAGAGTGGGGGTCATCCGATTTATCCCTAAGGAAACAAGTTGTTTTGAATTGTACCAAAAATTGTCATCTGATAGTGAAATAATTTCAGTTCGGAGATTTATGAAAAAAATTGATAATGAGTTAGTACCATTAACTACTATTTCTGTGACTTTTGTAGGAACAAGACTGCCGCAGCATATTTTCTTAGACAATTGGAGATACAAGGTTTCAGAGTACATTCCGCCAGTAATGCAATGTTTTAAGTGTATGAAATTTAACCACTCAGCCAAAGTCTGCAGAAATGTTCAGGTATGCTCCAAGTGTGCTCAGGATCATTGCTACAAGGACTGCACATCAGAGGTACTGAAGTGCAGTAATTGTGGCGGTGACCACTTAGCAATACCCAAGGCCTGTCCTATTAAATTAGCAAAGCTAGAGTCAAATAAAAAAACCTACTCTAATGTATTAAAAAGTACAAGCTCTTTTCCACATTTACCAAAAAATAATATGAATTACAAACTTAAAAGAGGAGAATCCCAGTCTACAATGACACCTAAAGAGTTAATAAATGATGAGAAAATTTTAAACTCTATTGTAAAAACCTTGGTATCCCTTGGTAATTCAAATTCAGTAAAATCTGTAGCACACATTAAAGAAACATTTCTAAAAATACTCAATTCTTAATGGATTTATTGCGAATTTTACAACATAATATACAAAGTATTAATAACAAAAAGCCACTACTTAATTCATTGTTAAACATTAATAATATTGATGTGTGCTTGTTAAATGAAACATGGTTAAAAAAGTCTTCCCCAAAAGTTAATGTTCCAGGATATACACTTCTAAATAAAAATGCTAAAAATGAACATGGTGGTGTAGGTATTTTATTGAAAAACTCCATAAACTTTAATGAATTATCAATTCCTTTCTATGAAGACATCCAGTGCATTGCAATTTCTCTTCAAACTCATAGAGGCCCTCTTTCCATTTTATGTGTTTACTGTCCTCCTGGAAATGAAAATAGAACAAGGTTTAGAAAACTTGAAAATATCATTAGAAACCTTCCAAAGCCCTGTTTAATTTCGGGTGATTTCAATGCCCATCATATAGCGTTTGGTTCTCTGAGTACAAACTCCAGAGGCAGACAACTGTTTGAAATATTTGATGACAATGATTTATGTATTTTAAACACTGGTGAGCACACAACTGTTCAGGCGCCCACTAGAAATAGCTCTGCTATTGATGTAAGTTCTATAAGCCCAGGTCTTGCTCCTTTATGTGAATGGCGAGTGGGTAATGACCCACTAGGTAGTTTGCATTATCCTACATTCATTGATATTAAAATATCTCCATCATTATATCAAGCTAATGAAAATATTGAAAAGTTCCTTTACAAGAAAGCTGATTGGTTAAAATACTATAGTAAATCTGAAGAATACTTTAAAGATTTTGCTGTTAATACTGACAATCCCATTATAACATATGACAACTTTTGCTTAATTTTAGATATGCTTAGAAATGAATGCATACCTTTATATAAAAGTAGGGACGGTCAGAAAATCCACAGACCAGCTCCTTGGTGGAATTCCAGATGTGCTAATGTTGTCCAAGACTCTCATAAAGCCCTGCAAACATACAGAAATAATGGTACATTAGAGAGCTACATTAATTATAAAAAACTGGATGCTTTGAAAAAGCGTATATTAAAAGAGGAAAAAAAGACCAGCTGGCATAATTTATGTCACTCTTTTAATAGATACACTCCCATTACTCGCATATGGAATTTCATCAGAAGGTTTAAAGGTATAAATTCTAAATTTAGTTCTAAAAGAGATGAATGGATACCAAATTTCATAGATAAATTCTCAGAACCAGCTAACCACAATGAAAGTATCACACATATTTTTGAATCTAATAACCACAGATCAGAAACACAATTCTTATTAGAACCCTTCCAGTGGGATGAATTTGTAGTAGCCATTAGTTCAAGAAAAGATTCTGCACCTGGTTTAGACAACATTCCATACATAATGATTAAAAATCTTCACAAATCTGCTAAATTAATTCTCTTACAAATTTACAATTTATTATGGCAAAACCAACAAATTCCCATTTCTTGGAAAAGCCAATGTATAATACCAATCTTAAAACCTGATAAACCAGCTAATCATCATAATTCATATAGACCAATATCATTATCTTCTTGTATGGGCAAACTTTTCGAACATATGATAAAAACACGTTTAGACTATTTTGTAGAAACCCAAAATCTCTTACCAGTTAATCAATTTGGCTTTCGACGTGCGTGGTCGAAGTGCTGCAGAAAGCTTTGTGACCTTTCTGGCTGATATTAAAAAAATGTATGTTAGGTCGTAGCAATGCATTGTGTGTCTTCTTAGATGTACAGGGTGCTTATGACAATGTCTGTCTACACAAGCTTTGTCATGTCTTGGCTGATATTGGTATTCCTGGAAAATTAATAGAATGGATTTTTAATCTCTTTTTTAACAGAACAGATCATGTTAAATTTAATAATATTTTACATGGCCCTAAAAAATCATTTAAGGGTCTTATGCAGGGGGCCTGTTTATCTCCTATTTTGTACAATTTATATTCCTCTAGATTAATGCACAGAATTACTAGTAATATTAAGATTCTGCAATTTGCAAATGATTTGCTTCTGTATAGTGTGGATAGAAATATTGGTTTAGCCCAATCAAAACTCAATATAGCTTTACAACAACTACAAACATACTATGAGAATGAGCTCAAATTGAGTATAAATACATCCAAAAGTCATGTTATGGTTTTTGGTAGTCATGATTTTAATGTTGATATAAAATATGATAACATCAGAATTCCTACCACAAATAATCATAAATTTTTAGGTGTTATCATTGACACGAAATTAAAATTTGAACAGCACATAAATTATGTGATTAAAAATGCGCTTA